CACACCTATGAGAATGGCAAAAAATCCCAAACTCCGACAATATCATTACCACCCTAATGTGATAATAGGGGAGGCTATATGTGTGTGGACAGAAGTTCATGGGAACTCTATTTTCCACCCAATTTTTCTATGAACCTAAAACTGCTCAAAAAATAAAGATTACTTATATACATGCCTTTTGCCATGGTTTAAATAACTTGTGATCAGATGAAAATAGTAAGATACAAACCCCTACATGTCTTGAGAATTACGATTTTCAGAAGTGTTCTTATTCATTTCCCACCCTAAAAAATTCCACACTATTCCAGAAATTACAAAACAAGCATTTGCACTAAATACATGCAGCATTGGAGTTGAAAAGGAAAGACCCCAAAATAACAACTCTCTTCTCCCTTGCCCCTATCCAGCTCTGCAGGTTGCACACTGTATCCTCTTGTTTAGGAAGACAGTGCATTTCCCATAGTTTGAGTATAGACAGAGTCCCCCAAACATCATGTATTAAAGATTTGGTCCCTAAGTGCTAGGGAACTTAAGGTCTTGACACTAGGTGCTGTGACCTAAGGTCATTGGCAGCGTGCCCTCAATCTCTGCTTTCTGGATCATAATATAAGTGGTTGGCTTTGTCACGTGTTCATGCCATTATAAGCTATCCTCAATGGGGATTAAAAGGCATGGGCTTCCCAATCATAGACTAGGTCTTCTAGCACTATGAGCCACAAAATAAGTCTGTACCCTTCATAAATTGCCTCAGGTCCTTTGGTAATGAACCACTAACAGTATTGCAAACATTTCTTCAGGAACTCAGACATCTGATGAATGATGAGAATTTTTCAGTAAATTTTTATTTCTTATAAATCATGAAATTTAAGAAAAGCACAGAACTGTGCTTTTTATTATAAAAAAAAAACTACCGTAAACTAACCTAAAAAATTGTAGCCCAAGTATAAGTCTATAGAAAAATGCTTTGCTCTTAATTCAAACAGATCAAGGTCCACAATGAAAACTTACATACATTTCATAAAACACAACCAGCTCCTTGAAAAGAATCAGAATTCCCTCTGTGTATATCATATATGTTTCACAAGCATAAAAAATCCATTTGTCTTCATTTAGCCTTCAACCTTCATTCCTAAGGAATTGCTTGGCCATTTAAATGTAACTTATTTCTGGGGTGGTACAACTCAGCACAGCGTTATGCTTCCCAGAAACCTGAAGCTTGAAGGGAAAATGTGGACATCCTAGGGGGTTATGGATATGCACATGGGAAATTTTTACCAAATCCCCTGAGGATATAAAGAACCCCACCCAAAAATAATATCAGTGCAGAACAGGGAAAGGAGAGGTCATTAGTTCCTGCCTCCAGGTAGAACTGCACCATCTACTGGCCTGGGTCATGGAAGGGCCAACTCGTGGGAGGGCTTCTGAGTGGGACATGAAGGGAGAATTTTGACTGTTATCGGGCAGGTGACAATCAAGATACTGAAACAACCTATTTATTTTAACAGAAATTTAATATGAACAATTGTAGACTAAGTTTTTAGAGAACTGCAAAGACCCCGAGTTGTGACAGAAGCCCTGGGGCTGCGGAACAGAGTGGAGGAGTACTGGAATTTAAAATCTCAGGAGAAGGGGTCATGCAGAGTTGGAATCCAGCCACCATGCCAGGAGGTGTGACACGGGGAGGCCACCACAGGAGTTGGCTGCATTGAGGGCTGCAATGCTTCTGAGAGTGCATGAAACTGCAAAGCCAGACTAGTTGCCACATCCAGAGTGGAGAACTGACACTGGGTGATGTTGACAGCAACAGGAAGCAAAGCAGGAAGGAGTGAATCCCTTCTCCTTCCTTCCTCTTCGTCTTCTCTAGTGAGCCGCATGAAACAAACTATGGAATGAAGTTTACAGGATCTCAGCCCTGCATCCGAAAGCAGAGTTAGGGAGGATAGGTTTGAGTGCCAATGGCCTAATTGTTTACATGCCATCTAAATAGAATTCAGTGAGACTTGACAAGTGGGACATAAAAATGCAAAAAGAGACTGTATGGGTACAACCAGGCCCGACAGAAGCTGTGAAGTCAGTTGAGAGCTTAGAGTTGGGTTAGGAGGTTGATGAAGGAAGCAGAGACCACTGAAAGCCTCCTGCACCACGTCAACATCACTGGAAGCCTCCCTTACAACCCCTTTATGAAATCTAGTATCTTGAAATGGGTGAAAATTGCAGCAAATGAGTTTGACAGAGGTATCTGCCCTGCAAGTCACATAAAGGAACGGCTCTGTCACCTATTAAGACCAAGACCTTGCTAGGGCTTTGAAATTACTGCTCAAGGGTCTACGGTGGTTCTCGGCTGACTGCATCTTTTCTCCTATCTTTGAAACAGAGAACTGACTTTAATATTCTAGCTGCAATTAGAAAACCACATTAGAGACATGAGAATTTTGCTCTGACTTTCCCAAATACAGGACTCTGGATTCGGCATGTCTGCGAGGAACATCCCTTGGAACAAAATGTTCTGTCCTTTATGACCTGGAGTTCCTCACATTTATACCAGAAAATGAATCACGTATTCAAATGTCATCATCATTTTGTTTTCTCCTAAGCATATGCCCATTATGGATTTAATCATAGCTTTCCTCCTGAGCAGCAATGAAAGAGGAGTGAGGGAGGAATTCTACACCCTACTGTGATTGGGGTTAGATAGCTGTGTTTGGCTGTCAAACCTGTCCTTGTGGAAAAAGGTGACATGTTGTTTGAATCAATATCTATTCCACTTTCCCTGTGTGTACACACACTCACACACACATAGTATAACTCTCTTCTCTAAAAAGAGTCAGAAATAAAAGAATATTGTCAGAAAAAATAAAAATGAAGACATAACAGCATCACAAAAAAATGCACATGCACTCAGCTGTTTATAAATGTCAGAGGCAAAGAAATAAAGTGGAACTCATAGCCTGCCTCATTCATTCACGTCAGAGTAGAATGAATCATAGCAACAGCCAGGGTGGTGACTCAAACCGTAATTTAAGAAGACCTTTGAAAAGAGGAAGGATGAAAGGAAGAGCCAGCATCTCTGTAAACCTGGTGAGTATCTATTCATGCAAAACTAGTGGCCACAGTGTGGTCAAACTACTTCCAATGATAAGCCGTCACTGGGTGTCTCTACAAATTTATATTATAGAAACCTTCCTCCTCACACTACAGATGAATAAGATAAGTTGATTAACCAGAGTTCAGTCTCTTTAACCAATTCCTAAAGGAGATGCTGAGACCTCCTGTTTGGAGTTATAAATTTGGAGACATGACTAGTTAAGGGGAAGCCACATCCTAAAGACTGGTTATTGCTAGTAATCCTGAGGGGGTTAAAAAAAAAGAAAGAAAGAAATCAAATTTAACAGCAGATAGTAGTTTCTAGAAAGAATATAGAAATACAAAAAAGCAAAGTATATGTAACTCACTAAGAGCTCAAATCAAACTGATTAGCCAAGGTATCTTCAATCAATATGAAGAGATGCTTCAGCATTTCCAGGATCTAGCAGACTGTGGAGCAAACCAGGACCAGAAAATGGATGTTCCCAACCATTTGTCCCCTTTGCAAGACCTGGGAGGACACATTTTAGGTGGGTGGGGGAAACACATAAAGGCCATGCTCAAAGACAAATGCCTCTGGTTGTAGGTTTATTTCCAACTGAAGATGTTTCATGAAGAAACCCTTTAGGAGCAGGGGTTAGGGATCTCTGCTTGGTCCCACAGAAAACAGGCAATCCCCTGGGAGAGAGAATGGGTTCATGAGTGGCAGCTGACAGCCACTCAGTAGAGCGTATTTCATTGCTACATCCTGGGCATTGAGGCTGGAAAGGGCATCCTTGGGCATTTGACCCAGACAGCTACTTCCTCTTCCTTGAAAATACCTTTTGTTCCCATGACATTAACAATTTCCCTAACACACAGCAGCTTTTATCCAGTCTGCTGCCATTCTCTTCTTCCTATGGCCATGAAGGATGAACTTCTCCAGAGTCAAGTTTCAGGCCGGCTTTTCAATTTTCCTGGTCTCCTACTACCAGAGAAGTGATCTCCTCCTGTCCTACGGCTTTAGACAGATCCCATAGGCCAACAATTCCAAATGTGTCTGAACTCAACTTCTATCCAACAAATCCACTTCAATAACTAACAGATCTCTCATCTGTCTACAGTGTTCCCATTTCCCTCCCAACATGTCCCTAGGATGCTTTTCCAGACTCAGTAAATGATCCTATACTTGCTCAAGGTAGAGGCTGACAATTCATCTGATTCTCACTCCATGATCAGTCTAGCAGTGAATTCTGCCAGCTACACAAATACATATCTCCAGCCCACCCATTCCCCCCAACTCCACTGCTCTCCCTCTCATCTTAGCATCACCATTGCCATGATGGCAGTGATCTTAAAATGATGTCACTGCTTCCAGGCACAATGGCATGTGCCTGGAATTCCAGTGACTCTGGAGGTTTCAACAGGAGGATGGCAAGTTCAAGTTCAGTCTGGACATCTTAGTGAGACTCTGTCTTAAAATTTTAAAAAGGACTGTGGATGTAGCTCAGTGGGAAAGCACCCCAAGGTTCAATCCCTATTATCTAATTTTTTTTTCCAAATGATGTAACTGCTTGTACTCCTATAACCCTATCGCCCCTGCTGCACACAGCTCTGCTTCAGTGATCGTTTAAAACATAAATCAAATGGCATCACTCATGCTTAACACTTGCCAATGACTATCACACTTAAAACTAAAATCAATTACTCCTCCTGTGGTTTACAAAGCTCTGTGGAAAGCTCCCTTTCCAGCCTCTTCTCACATTTCTTCATTCTTGGAAATCACTACACTCTGGTGCCATGGTCTACTTTTCTTGCTCTAAAGCTCCAAGCTCATTCCCCCTCAGAGCCTTGGGCCATGTTTCAGTTCTTTGCCCAGAACACCTTTCCCCCCAGTCACTGCACAGTCAGCTCCTTGTTTCCATTCTTGTCTTAGACTGAGTCACCTCATCCAAGACGACTTCCCCAACAAAACTTCTAAATCTTTTAGAGTCAAAAAGACTATAAAAACAGAATCACAAGGCAGAGAGAAGCTTCTGAATACCTTGTTCCTAGGGAGGGGACATAAGGATCCCTGGTAAACCCAGAAAGCATCTGCTACACCTAGGCTAGAGTTCAGAGGATCTTCCTTATCTTGGTAAGTCTTCAGAAAGTGTCACAATTGGAATGCCAGGCTCGCTCTCAATAAAATTTCTGGAAAACCTGAAACCAGGTAGGTATTATGCTAGAATTGCTCAAGGGCAGACTTTGTAATGATTTGATTTACAAAGAAGTCCTCCTATGCAGGGTTGGAATGAAAATAAAAGTAGGAGATACAGGCAGGAAGAACTAAAAGAAGATTTTTTAAAATGGCATTACAGAGGACCAGGATAAAGACAGCATAAAAGGTATGACACGTTTATGTCCTGGTTTCTAGAGGAGTGGAAATGTACCAAAAGGAAGAGGAAGAAATTCAGAAAACAGGGAGGAAGCCTAGGAAAGAGAAAGAGAGAGAGAGAGAGAGAGAGAGAGGGAGAGAGAGAGCCAGGCGACCTAGGACAAGCAGGAG